GGATAGGACGGTGGGGGCCTTCAAGATTGGGGTTCAACCTTTTTTAACAAACGATCCAACAAATCATTGAATATGGGCAAAATCACCACTTACGAATTAAAGTTACCAAATTGAAATAGGGAGAATATACAACTGATCTAGTAATTGTCCTCACAAAAATTACTTCTAATTAGTTCATTCAAGAACTTTTAACAATGTTCTAAAAAGTTTAAAGCGTGACTAAGCATGAAGGCTAAGTTTCAAGCTTTTAATAATTAAAATAAAATCTACCAAACATCTAAAATTATAATTATTACAATTAGTCATTAATTTTCAAACTTATGAGATGTAAAAACTAGACTATTTTTCATAGCTTTATTTCTTAACTAGACAAGTCCTACTTTATAGATTTATAGGAATTTCATATATATTTTGGAAATGTTCAATAAAAGATGAGTCTCAAAATGATAATTAAATAATGTAAATAACATCTAAGCTTAAATATTATCTATCTCTTTATCGGATAAAGTCATTTTTGACTTTTGTACAGATAAAGTAATTTAAAAACTTAAAACAAAAGCCAAATAAAAGAATTTTTTTAAAAAGGCAAAAAAATAATAAAAAAATTAACGAACTAAAATCAAATAAAACGCTTTTAATTAGAAAAAAAAATAATGAAGGACGCCTAGTCGTGTATTAAGCAACAAACTTGATAATTGACCATTTAATTCACGCTTACTATCAAGGTGATTCGTTTAGCGTGCACCTCAGGTCTAAGCGCTTTTTTTAGAACACTGCTCTTTAGACCTCACCATGTTAAACCTAATTCTCCCAATATTTGGTGCCCAATCACAACTTTTGAATCTCTCTGTCCAAATTGAAGCACTTTTAACTAGAGAAAAACAACCCACAAAATTGAAAAAAGTAAAATAAAATAAAATTTAGAGAACCTTCAATTATTGTTGTTCAAACCTAGTCCATCGGATGCGCCGTCACTCCAATCTTAGGCCGTAAGAATTGGCTCTGTTCGTTTTGTCGAACATGGGTTATGAAAGTTCCCATCCACTGCCAACGCTGGGCCTAAAGTATATTGCTGACAGATGCCGGGATTGGACTTAAGGTGGCTCTGCCCCTACTTCCGGAGAGCTGGTTGAGTTTTGACCATTCTTGGGGCTAGTCATGGTCAATTAGGCCTTCTTTTAGAGTTATTGTACACGAGTGTTTTATTTTACATGTACTTTTCTCCTGGCCCCCAAGTTCTTTGTTATCTTTATTGGCAGTATGTTTCGATGAAATCTTTCACGTGCTTGGCCCGGTTGAACTAGAATTATTTGGTCTAAGATTGTGTTTGGAATTATTACGACGTTATTATTCGCGTTTCAAGAAGAGTTTTTGAAGGGAAGTTTTCTGAAAACTAGAACAAGAATTAGTCAAAAAATTCTATCAACTAGGATCTTTGCTAGATGTTCATTTATGTGTTACTATAAAAAAAATATAGACTTATAATTTACTTAAATCAATATTTTATTTTTTAATTAAATCTAAATCATGAACTTCCAATTTTTTCATTCACAAACTTCCACCATTTAATTAACTTAAGAATTTACCGTTCCTAACCTTCAATTCTTCTATGTTATTCTTCAAAATATAGACTACAGTCATGTTTAAGCATCTTTTAATTAAATTAAAAGTTCAATTCTGGATTAGATGGAATAAGAAAATCAAGAAAATAATTTTTTTTTTTTTAAAGCTAAGAAATAATCACCAACATTTTATTCTATCTCCTTAGTTAGCACTTTTACCTTGTGACAAAAAAGTTATTCAATCCAAATCAGGCCTAATTACTCATGCGGGTTTAATGGCAAAGTGTAGTCCCTAAACTTCAAATACATTTATAATTAAGTCCAAAACATTCAGAAATTGCAACTGATTTCAAAACTAAATAAAGTTACAGTAGGGACCAGTTCAGAGATATATATTTCAAGTTCCAATAAATAATTAGGCCATGTTTGATCGAACATACACACCAAATCTAGTTATTAATTTTTTTTTATTTTTTCATTAAAGCATAAAACTGTACTCTCAAAATATATGAAATTACATAAATTAAATATATCTACAATGTTTTCCATTGATCTATTGCACATATATTTCATCTCCATCAAAGGTCCCATAATTAAGAACGAGTATAAATGATTGTTTTGTTACTTTAATTATTGTCACTAACTTAAGTTACAGTTTCTTCAAAGGCATCGGGAAACGATTATATCAAAGTTTAGACTTTGCTAGAAAATAAGCTCAAATTTATTATCGTTCAACAAAAAATACTTAAGTAGTCACTCAATTCATTTTTTAAAGCAATAGTTCCTGGCATGAATTCGTGTCCTCTACTTTACTCGTTCTCAAGCTCCTAAATCACCAAAATATTTGATCAGTCAAAATTGATCTTACTCGTTGATAAAGTAAAGAATTATTAAACTCATAAAAAGATATACACTACGGCCCTTCTGTACAAGTGTTAACTATCATACATTGATTGTGGACAATTTCATTCATGATCAAACTTGAAGTTGTACTCCTTGTACTTCTCGATACAAGTACCCAACTTATATTATGATAAATAATCATTTGCACTTTTATTCGCATGCTCAAATTAAAAAAGGAAAAACAAAATTTAAAAAAAAAAAAAAAAAAAAATGTAATTTCATAACATTTTTTTGAGAAGATTAAGTGATAATTTCTCTAAAAAAATATAAGTTTATTATTCCTTCGCCATTGAAATATCCTTGATATCATAGTTGATTCATCTTTCATTTTGAGGTTAGTATTTACATTTTTTTTTTTTTGAACTTACTATTTTGGAATCTTAAATATAACGTGCTCATATTACTTAGTAAATTATTATTCATTCATTATTTTGTTTTGTAAATTATTTTGACAAAACATAGGTGCTTCAAAGCATATAAAATTTTGGAATAATTAATGTTTAGTATAGCATTGTGTGAATTCTTAGTCAATATTTGATTATTTGGTAGTTGAGCATTGATGAACATACAGGCTTCATCAAAAATATTTTTTCATCATACACTTTGAATGCAATCTCATCACATGCTAACTTTTCAACACCGATATTAAATGCCAATTTTTTTTTTTTTCTTTTTACAAGGTGTCATATTCTAGACTAATCCTTGGGTCTGTGATCCGGCCCCTCTTCACACAGTCCGGTTAATCGCAGGATGTGCCTCCAACTGGCCAGGGTCCGAGCGCTCCCCACCTGGTCTGACAAAGTGCCATGCAAGCCAATCCAAGTTGCACCTTGCCTTCCAAGAATAATCCTTGCCTTCCAAGTTCCCACTTGCCTTCCAAGAATAAATCCTTGCCTTCCAAATGTTCCCTTGCCTTCCAAGAATAAATTCTTGCCTTCCAAGAGCCCCATGTTTCGAACTCACGACCTCTGCTCTGCCAGATTTGACAGCGTCCGTCCTTTGCTAGTGGAGAAGTGCCCTGGGGGCTTAAATGCCAATCTTAACATTACTTAATGTTGGGATAGACATTGTAACTCTTAGTCTAACCAGTTTGCAACTATTTGGCAGAATTTATTCATAGGTGCATCGTATTTGCATTTAAAATCCGATATATTAAATTTGTGCAAAATGCTTACCATTTTGTTTGCTTAATTTTAGGCATGAGTGGCAATCTGAGATTCCATAGACTTCCAAAAATAATACAATGCATTTAGGCTATACAGTTGAATTGTAGGTCTTGACAGTTTTTAACTGACTTTCTTGACAGTATGGCATCTGTGTATTAAACTAGACCAATCCTAGCCAATTAATCGGACACATAATTTTCCGGTTTACATGAACAACATTCTTTAAAAAATATAACATATATTGAACATAACAGATTATGTTAAATATTGTTCGTCTACACAAGCATCATCTATATTTAACATGTCATTAATGTTATCTTCCATCTCATTGTCAAAACTAATGACAATAATATTAGATGGTGGGACGTTTGGAATGTAGTCATCATCACCTGAATTGTATTCATAAGGTAGCATATAGGCAAACATGTTATCAACTTCCACGTTCAACAAGGGAGAGGATGGGAAGGAAACCTCTTTCAAGTCCAGGAAATGAACCGGTGAAAAGATATCCTCCGACTACTAGGTTGATCCACATCATCATCGCCTGAATTAATTACAGTGTTGAACAAATTGGGATTCAAGAAGGATATGGTGATACTCTAAAATCTTGTATGCAAATTGTGCATTTAGGCGAATAGGTTCATGATAAAAGATTAAAATCTCAAATCTGTTTTAATGTATTATAGTACACAATTGTTTGCACTTATTGTGTTACATTTATCAACTTTTTTGTCAATTTCATTAATCATACATTCATTTGGTGCGACCTTTTATCGACATATTTTAGTAATTCGTTTTTGTTAGTCGTTATCAACTTGTTCTTTCGACCCCTTTAGATCTGAATGCCTAGAATATAGCTAGATTCACCCAAGTCTTTCATATGAAATTATTGATCACCGAACACGTTTTCGTAGACAATATAGTTTTCCGAAAAATTAGATTTTTATCGTGTACCTTTTTTATGGTCGCCTGGTTCGTCGAAGTTATGATCAAAATCATGTCTTAATCAACTCGTCGAATGTCTTGCATATGTCTGTTTCAATCCAAAAATGGATCATTGTAGTTTGTAGACAGCTGTTTTTTTTTTTTTCCTCCCTCTTTTCCGAATGCTATTTAACACCAAAAGTAAAAGAAAAAGAAAGGAAAAATAGAACGTGGGATGAACTCGATTAGCACATGAAAGTCTCGTACCTGTACCCTTGACAATAATAACATGACGGAATTATGAAGTCTCAGGTTACTGTTAAGAAAGCGACATAAAATTTCATTAAATCCCCCACCCCATCCAAAAAAATAAAATAAAATAAAATAATAAAAAAATAATTCTTAATCAGATTATTGTACGTTAGGCTATAAATATGAAGTAACATTTAAAGTACACATGTTAAGAAAAAGTAATGAAGAGTCAAGTGCCTCGTTCAAGATCTTCTTGTGCAGCCTGCAAGGCCTTAAAGAGAAGATGCGCCACAAATTGCCTGTTTGCTCCGTATTTTCGTAAGGACGAGCCAAAGAAGTTCGCCAAAGTACACAAGGTGTTCGGAGCCAGCAACATTAGCAAGATCCTTAATGAGGTGTCAGACGAGCAACGTGAGGATACAGTGAATTCGCTTGTGTATGAGGCTGAGGTGAGGCTGAGAGACCCCATTTATGGTTGCATTGGGGCTATAGCTTCTCTGGAGAAGAAGATGGTTGAACTAGAGCATGATCTGATGCTTGCTCGAGCTCGTCTTGCATTTTGTGTTAATCAGCGCACGTCATTTTTGAATGAGCATGAGAATATGGCCCCTTGGATTCATGATACTCCTGAGAGTGGTATAGTGGAGGCCTTCAACCAGGATCTATTTTCCTTTAATCAATTTAGCCATCTTCCATTTCTTTAACTCTCTCTCTCTCTCTCTCTCTCCCCCCCCATATTTTATGTTTCCATGACATAAATTTAATATTTAATGGAGGTCATTTGGATCAAAGTGAAACTTCATTTAATTGTGCCTGCAAAATGGTATGGTGGCCTTCAACCAGGATCTATTTTCCTTTAATCAATTTAGCCATCTTCCATTTCTTTAACTCTCTCTCTCTCTCTCTCTCTCCCCCCCCATATTTTATGTTTCCATGACATAAATTTAATATTTAATGGAGGTCATTTGGATCAAAGTGAAACTTCATTTAATTGTGCCTGCAAAATGGTTTATGTGAATATCAACCCACAGTTGCTTTTTTTTTACTTCTTATGGTAGTCATAGAGTTTTTTCTTTCTTGAACATGATCAGATCAGATTTTCTTAGTTTTCTTCTTCCCTAGCTTTGTTTCCATAGGGCTCCAGAGCAGGGAAGGGAGACTTGATTTTTAAGACTCCGAAGAATTTCTAGTACCTGGGATTAGACAGCATCAAGCACATAAAGAGGTGTGTGATATATGTCGACTATCATGTCTAGTACGGCATTCCAAACCTATTTCATATGATTCCCGGATTCAACAATCAATGAAAACAATTTTCATTATATTTGCATAATAGAGTACACATTACCGAATTAGTCGATAAGTGGATTCATCGTGAAAATTTTGAGACCTGACCGAATCGTATCCATGGTCACTGATAAGACCAGATTAATTTTTCACAATCTTAATTATTTTGGCCCACTGTAAAATGTAATGTTAACTGTCACATACTAATGGAATGCCTTTTAGCTTAGGCATGTGAAAGTTTATCAAAATGGGGGTAAGACAATCATATTGTTTGCAACTTTGCATTGATTACAAGTCAATCACTAGATAAAGCACATTTTCCACTACGAATTCGAACAAGCAACCGAGAAAGTTGATATGCAATAAATCATTGGATGGTTGTTTCTGCGGCTTCACAAATAGAAAACTCGCAACTGAATTTGGGCTTTAGAGGTCGAAAAATCCATTCTTTGTAAGATATGTAATACGATCAAAACACTGTACATTATCTAAATCGCTATGCATTCTCAACTCATTTTGTAGGAAATACTATGAACAGATCTTGGCAGCATAACCCTGTGCAGAGAACACAAAATAGGCAAAAATACATAAACCAAACCAAGAAACTAGCTCAGAACCACACAACCCTGTTTTTGAAATTAAGATCGGAACCTGATTGCTCTCATTCAACATAATACTATTGACTTTCCTTCACAAGTCCTCGTAATAGCTAATGCCCCAGACGATGTTTCCATTGCCTAATTTCAATACAGAAAAGCATCCAAAGCATCAATGAACACCTAAAACAAAGGAACCCCGGCACTGATTTGTGTTTTAGTTCCAAGATGGGACCATAGCAAGATCGTATTAATAATCGAATTCACAGATTGTAGTCAAACGAATCACGGGCGCAAAAATCTTCTGACAAATTCCAGATATTAAGAATAACTCCCAATTCTACTGTATCTTTGGGCAATATTTACTGGTTCAATCTCATCCTTTCTGAGGCAATTATACACATGATTGCTAGACTTCAGGTAACTGAATTAATTGTTCCAATGGTAACTGAACTTAGGTCCATGTCTTTAATTGGTCACTGAAGTTTAAAATGTCGAATTTTGCTCACTGAACTTAGGTACATATTTTTAATTGCTCACTAAAGTTTTAAATGTTGAATTTTGACCACTGAACTTTAGAAAATATTGTACGTTACTCACTATTATTAATGTTAAACATTGAAAAATATCGAGTTTACAGTGAGTAATTGTAACGCCCTGACTTGCATGGAGGGAAACGTCACTCAAATCATTGTACCTTAGCATTGGACTTAGAAATTATTTAAAATAATAATTTAATTAATTACTCCTTTAACGGAAACGTAAACATTTAGTTTTAAAAAAATTTCCTTAAGAACCATATTTTTCCTAACATGCAGTTTAGTATAAAATTATAAAATAAACTTGTTTGCATAGTTATCAATGTCAAAATTTCATAAAATTTTAAGGAAAAATAGGGACCATCTTATAATATAACATATTCAAAATTTGGCTTCCGTCAGTAACATATAAGGCGTTAAAATATTTCCCAAAATCCCGCTAACACTAATTAAACAAAGCTGTTTTCCTTTTCTATCTCGTAGGGTAAGTGTCAATAAATTTGTTCGTATAGCTATTGACCTTGAAACTTCATCAAATTTTAATATGAAGTAGTAAACTCCTTATAATATGACATAATCAAAAATTCGCTTCCATCGGCATCATATGAGGTATTAAAATATTTCTCAAAACCCAACAACGACCCGGTTGAAAGGTAAATCGGTGCAGTTCACTTAAAATGACATGTAAATTCCACGGACATCAAAACCACGTGATTTTAAATTTATTCAGTAGTTAATCCATGAAACTATCAAATCCAATTGGTTTCATTGAAATTCCAAGTAACGGTCGAGTTAGGAAATTTTGAAGTCAAGGCAGAAGCTGGGAATACGACGACTCTACCTAGTGCAGTTTACTTTATACAACATATAAAATTCTACCAATATCGGATTGACATGATTCTAAGTTCATTCAATAGCTAACTTATGAGACTATCCAACGCAACTAGTTTTGTATAAAAACACCAAGTAACGAAGGAGTTATTAATTTTTAAAAATGAGGCAAAATTTGAATTTTTTTTAAGAGACTGCAAAACTTTAAATCGCTAACATATACTTTTTTTT